GGCTTGCACTGGCTCAGGCCCTGCACTCCTGCCAGCCCTGGCCTTGGGCTATGCGTTCCTGCTGCCCCACTGGCCCAGGCCCCATGCTCATGCCCCCCACCCACCCGTTCTTGATACTGCTGCTGCTCCTCCCTGCCCACTGGCCACTCCAGCACCACATGCCAGAGCAGCCCCTGTGCTCCTGGGCCCTGCCAGCCTGGGCTCCAAGCTCATGACCCTCACCCTCCCCTTCTTGCTGCTACCGCTCCTCCCCGCCATGCATGTGGTGCTGGAGTGGACCCCAGGCTCCTGCCACTTCTCCCTGGGCTCCTGCCAGCTGCCACTCACCAACCGCTTCTCCCCATGCTCGCACTGAGCGTTATAACGAAATGCGCTCAGCACTGAGTGAAACTAGGTAGGTATTTTAAATGAGCATTATAATGAAACCATGGCAAGTGAAATCATGTGAAACAAGGGTTGCCTGTATGCCTCTTTCTTCTTTTTCAAGAGGGCCTTGATATCTCTACTGAGCAAATAGGTCTTGCCAGCCCCCTTGTGTAGCCAGCACCCAGGTGTTTTCAGTTACCACTGGTGACTAGAATCAGCAGTGTTCATATTCTGGCTGCTGGCCACACTGACAGTGTGGCTCCAGGGTTGAGTGGGGGTGGCATTAACCCCTTGGCTGCTGGTACCAACACAGCAGCGCTGGCAGTCATGGCCAGAAGCCAAGCCATAAGCACTGCAGTCCTGATCCAGCCTGCAGGGCCAAATGAGTTTGACACCCCTATTTTAAGGCATGTCTACATTGTCTCAGTACAGCACGAGGAATTGCTGAACTCAGGCCTGCCAAATCTGCTACCTTCTAAAATGAAGTAATGTGCCAATAGGCTCTTCCAGGAGGTAAGAGGGAAGCAGTCAGGGTGGATAAAAAAAAAATCAAAGATTTAAAAAACAAATAAATAAATAAGCAGATTTTTTTTTATATAACTCACATTTTTAATCATAGTTTTTGATTTTTAAAAAAACAACAAATGGTTAATTAGTTACAGATAACACAAACTTATCATGAGGTTTAAATATATACATACAATCAAATATAATACTTTAAATATACATGAAAATGATCTAAAATTAACTTTTATTAGCTAGAAAAAATTTACTCTCCCTTGTCTATCCTATAACTTTAAAAAGTCTATCTGCCTCTCAATGGTGATTTGTTTCACCACTTCAATCCTTTCTATGATTTTAGGAACTGAGAATAAACTACAGACTCCAGTTTGAAGAAAAGCTTATTCAGGTTCTCGGCTTTTTTCCTCTTATCCTCTACCAGCAAGTCAGAACAACCACAAGCATAATATCCCATTCTAAACTCCTGAGCCAGGCTAAATGCACAAGCTTCTAGCCTGTCTCAGCTCCTCGACTAAACCCTCATTGGTTAGACCCCCCAAGCAAAAAGATGCTTTTGACAGGCCTTGCTTGCTCAGATGCTTTAGGGATGCCATGTGGTTACTCCTTCAAATTCCATGATACCATCTTACTTTGTAATCACTGCCAGAGCATAAGCCTGCCAACGTTTAGTGATGAGGAGTCTAAGGATGTGTCTGAGGAAGTAATAGACAGTGACAGAGGCAATATCCCACTGACAAAGCTGGGGACAGGGAAGGTTGAAAGATGTGAGAGGCCTCTTGAGCAAAAGGAAGTCTGAGATCTCCTCCCCCCAACCCTGCATTCCTATCTGTATTTCCAGGTAGTGGCACAGTTTACCTGTGGGAGACCCCATGCAAATGTTCAATGTCAGGCCTTACTCCTTACTAGACAACCACACTAAAACATAACCCTAACGCAAACTGGGCCCCTTGACCAGCCTGGGGACCCAGGCAATTGTATGGTTTGCATGGCTGTACTTCCATCCTTTAAATGCCAGCCAGCTTTGTGATGCAGCTACTTATCAGACTTCCCCAGTAAACTTTATAATGCACTAAGCAGCTTTCACTTTTAGCTATTACCAGCGGGCACACAGACAAGCGCTTGCTGGAAAGCTGGTCTGGCACTCGTTTTGCATGGCAAACAGCCACCTCCCTGACTAAATGAATAGATGTATTGCAGTGAAGCCGGCCATTAAAACTGGAGTACGACCATCTGGCTCATGCTATACAGGTTTCTCTCGCCAACCACGGTTCTGAGCATCCACACTTTATATTCTATATACCATTTTGGCTACCATGGCATAGTTTTGAGTAACCACGGTTTTCCGTGGCTGCGCATTAGCCTACCACCTGCCATTTTTCCCATAAACCTTTTGCCTTGCCAACCACGAGAACTTTCAGGAACCTAACCCGGGAAACCTGTAGCGCCTGTTCAGTGTCGGGGTTTGGAGCTAGCTGCACTTTTGCTAAAGTGTAACATACGGTGTGTGGCTAAGCACCAAGTACAAACACTCAGTGCTGATGTGTAAGGGGTGCATGCGCACCCCCTGACAGCCAGCACTCCCTGCTTGGGCCACGGTCAAAGAGGGCAGGTGGGAGTGAGCGCTGGCCAGGGAGTGGGAACTTCCCACTTGGCGCGACTGGCCACGGGTGGGGGGG